TGGTTTCTGGTCTCAGTGTGTCTTGATATGAATTAAAGTCATTCTGCACACCAGTTTTGACTGCCTAGAACATTTTCTTTTTAGCAGCTCCTCCTAGGAAAATTCAGCAAATGGGCTTGTTTGTTACTGCCTTGTGATGCAAAACACCCTTTGTCCTACTGTAAAATGTATCCTACATAAAAAAAACCAAAAAAAACCTGTCTCCAAAGCAGCCACTCTCTCTGCCTTCTTTCCAAGAATACTGTCAGCACAGCTATTGTGTATATTCACATGCTTTAGCTGATGTTGCCTTTCTGAAATTTCCTGAGAATTTAAGCATTTTTTTCCTTAAAGTATTTTTTACTTCATTGCAAAATGAAAATAAATAGGAAAATCTTGTAGACCATAGAAGGACCTTTACTATATGATACACTGGATCCTCTTGGTAGTGTGTAACAGATGGAAAGTTGTTTCTTATCAGTAGAAGTAAATCTCTTCTCCAGTAATGCAGCTTACTGTCTGTGCAAGAATGTCTGACAATTTTGTTTCTGGAAGCCTGGCTGTGTGCAGTAGACAATAGGTAAGGATACAAACTCTTTGCATATAAGCCAGAATATTAAATGTTTGTGAATGTCTGTAGCATAGAATGATCACTTTGGTGATACTTTCTCAGTTCTGAGAGCTCAGGGAAGCAGGAGACTCACTCAGCTTTAACATCAGCTGATTGCTGGACATTTTAAAAGCATCAAGAAGTCAGGCAGATTTTGTGGAAATGCTGGCAACACCTATAAGGAAACCCAGGAGGATTGGAAAGCTCAGTAGGGCTGCCTGCAGGGCTGGGGCTGCACTCTTGTTCCACCAAACATTGGTGTAGTGCTGCAGATGCAGACAGGGAGAGGTCATGTGTGCACTGATGTCTGAAGTTAAGATCTTCTGCCAGCTAAGTGGATATCTTTAAGGGCTTAATCCTATAACTAATGAAGTCAATAGGAGATTATCAGTTGACATCAATGGGCTTGGAGTCACGCCCTCAAAGATTAAAGTAATCCTGTACTAAGCTTTCAGGTGGCTTCTGCTGTTTCACACCTAGATCCCAAAAAGTACGTGCCTTATTTCACTGAATTACTCTCTTGTTGAAAAAATAAAACTTTTCAGCAAAACAGACAATTTTTTTTCAATGGTTCTGAAAAATTTTTTACTCAAACTACTTAGGGAAATATTTATTTATCAGGTTTTTGTAGCCAGAACTCAGATTATTTGGTACAAATTTTCTGCAAATTTGAATTAAATTTAAAGGGTTGGCTGCATTTTTTATGAGTATGTTCCATTTTATTTTTTTTAATATTGCAAAATGAAAATAATAAATTTTTTTTACCACTTGGCTTCCTTCTGTTTTTTTCCAAGACAAAGGACACCTTTTAAGTTGGACAGAAGATCAAAATGGCAAAATTCCTAATTAAAGTGATACACAGATAAGCTAAAGGATAGTAAATTAAAATGCATTAATGTCTTTTGAGAATTTACATGATTAAGGAGAAATTAGCAGAACAGACTGTCGTTGGACTTGTTTTTTCCACGTAGAACTAATCTTATAAATGCCTATTTCATGGATGCAATCTAATCTTATAAATGCCTATTTCATGGATACAATTAGAATTAGATGTATGAAAACTCATTTTCACCATAGTGCAACTTTACACCTGTGGAATTACTTCTTCATATTTCCAGCATCTCCATTTTGCATAATTTTACAGGAAAAGGTCATTGTTTCTCAAGCCAAATTAGAGAAAATGTGTACTGAAAAGCCAAATTCCATCATGCCAGGGATATCATTCTGGTTTTCAGTTAAGTAGATTGCAATGGGTAAATTTGTGATAAGCACAGTGACTGAAGTGATTTCTGCCCTCCTCCAGCTCCAGTCTGTTTGTGCCTGAGCTGTGTGAGGCTGGAACTCCTGGACTGAGTGCCCAGCTAAGACACAGTGCTAAAAGTCACTATAAAATAACAACATTCTGTGGAATGACCAAAAGATAAAAGGCAAGATGTTGATGCACACATCTGTCAGGCACTTTCAAAATTAATAAGCACCTGCAGCAACCAGGGATTGCTGATGTTTGCTGTGGGTCTAGAAAGGAAGAAGCTGCAAAACCAAATGTGGACAAGTGAGTGAAAGGAGGAGATAAACAGGGGTGTCTTGTCAGTGATACAGAATTTATATTCTTATTTATACCTAACTTACACTTTGTTTGCATGAAATAGAATAACATGTGAGGATTTAAAGGTAAAAAGGGTTTGGATCTGAGTCCCTGTCTGTTAACAGAAGAAATTTATTCCCAGAGGGGGAGGCTTTGAGTTAGTATTTCTTATGGGGCGCAGTAGAAAAATGAGTTTACTGTTTTTCTGAAATGGAGTGAAATGATTTGGAGCTGCTTTTGCATAACATCTTTTTGTCTCCCTACTTATCTATGGAGTAAAGATGTTTCTCCTTATATTCCAGTAATATGCCTTCTTTCTGATCAGCAGCATGTAAAAAGAGAAAGATGAGCTTTCTGTCCCAAAATAATAAAGCAGGGGTTTAACACTAGCAGGCATCAGGGAGAGTCATGTTTCTTGCAGCAGGTAGGTTTGTTCTCCTTGAGCAGCAGAAAGGCTGAAAGAATGCCTGAGATGTACAATGTGTTGGGAACAGAGAGGCAGTAGCTCCGAATAAAGGAAGAAATGAATGGAATAAAAGATTAGGAGAGAGAGACACAGAGACAGAGACAACTTGAACACATACATAAAATCCCTTCTGGAGGCCCTTATCTAATTGCCTCATTTATCTAGTTTCATTTATAAGCTCAGTTTTATTCTGGGACACTCTCGGAGGCTGTGTGAGAATGGCTGCAGAATGACCTAACTGGCAACAGGCTTTCTACAGACCTTTTTTTTTTTTTGTATGCCAATTCTCAGGGCAATTACTGCAGTTGCCCTTTTTATATCAGCATCTTGGGTGGCTAGGCCTAGGGTTTGCTCACTCTTTTTAATAGTATAATTTCTTTTGATAAATAAGCAGCTAGGATTTTTTTTTCTTTCTTTTTTTTTTTTTTATGAGAATACTTCTTTCCCACTGGGACTTCCTATGAACATGTGGGCTTAATGCAGATGCCTGCTTTCACACAATATAAAAGATGATTTAAAAATGAATCAAAACAGTTTCACAAACTATCTCCTCTCTCCCTCAAACCTTCACTTAGATTATTTCTTCATTTTGAAGTTTTTATGGAATGATTCAGAGCAGATTTTTTTAAAAATAAAACAAACTGAAGAATTTTGCTTAAATTTTGCTTAAATTTGAAAGTGATTTTCTGGGTGCAGCACAGTCAATGTGAGTTTTTGCTGTTGATTTGAATGAAGCCTGGATTTAATTCTTAGCTCTTACTGGATTTTTATTTTCAGATTTCACTAGCAAACTAAATTTTCATTATTATTATTAAGATCAAAACTCCAAGATCATTGTTTTCTGTTCTCTGCATGATTGTGGCATGTATATATTATTTTGAACCTCCAATTTAGGTGCCATCTGTGGTATTTTTTAAGGCACTAAGCAGTGAGAAAAGAGCTATCATGTCTCCCCAGCTGGTTGCTGAAAACAACATGTCACAGTAGAGTTAAAGTTGGGTTTATTTTTAAATATATTTCATTGAAGAAAGTGTTAAAGATGTTATCTCTGTCAGATATTTCAACGTTGCTAAAATACTTCAGCGACTTTCTTGCCTTGCTGTCTATGAAGAGTGTAATAAAACCGTGCTATGTGACAGATTTAGACAGCTGGCTCATTCATGAGAAGTTCACATTTTTGTCACCCACGTTGAATAAGGAAAGATTAGATGCTAAGGTCAATTTACAAAAATGGTTGTCAGGACATTTTTTAATTGTAGAACTTTTTGTGATGGAATTCAGGGAAAAGACTAAAGGCAGAAAGCAGCGGAGACAAAGAGCTGCTATTAACCTACAGATGCTACCACAGGGTTCATTTTAAGATTGGTCACACTGCTTAGCCAATGAAGTGTTCGTGTGACTATAAGGGACCACCCTTTTCTGGGGTGAGAGGGCAATTTGGTCTTCATGCTCATTTAATCCCAAGATGTCTTTCAATGGACTGTCAGTTGAATCTACATTGTGCAAAATTATGCATGCACTTTTTAATGCAGACCATTGTTCTCTGAGCACTTAACCAAGATTTCTCAACCAATTTCCATTTGGCATGAGGTCACTGAAACCCAGGCAAACATATATGGAAGGCAAATGTAATTGTCTGTTCCTCAGAGCTGGAATGTGTGAGACACAGAAATGCAAGTATTGGTTATGCTGTAATTTCAGATTTAATACTCACTAAATGAACACTGACAAATTTCTATAAAGAAAAATTTGTTGCATGCTGCTGCCCTGGAGAGTGATTTTACTACTAGAATGTAACATGGGGAAAGTCTTTTAGATCTGTTTGACTAGAGTGTTGTCAATATTTGATGCATGAGCAGCTGCTTCTAAGGACCACAGGATGTGCACACTGGGGCTGCTCTGCTTTCTTTTCTTAGGCAAGATTCTGTAAAAGCTGCAGTAGGTAGTTTGCAGGTAGTGCAAAGGAAACCTGATAGTTGGTAAGCAGTGAACAAAGAAACTGGCAGTAGAGCTGGAGATAAGAGGGCACCAGTTCTGCAGATACATCTAATTAATACCTTAGAAAACATGGCTACAGCACGTACACCACATTTATTGATGCATTTACAAACACTTGGTTTTCTTGGCTCTCCAAGGAACACTTAGAACCACATTTGGCAAGACTGCTGTAGGTTTTGTACAAGTGACACCGTGCACAGGCAGCCCCTGCTTCAAGTGTCCACAAAGTGATTTGCACTGTAGTAGGGCAGTGCAAGAGGTGATACCCAGGCAGACTCTGCCCATGCCACACTGAATGGGGTGTCCCAGGGAAAGAGCTCTCATGAACACATGCTGCAATTTTATTAGGGTTGGTGGGCGTTTGCTTTTTTTTCTCATCCACTGTAAATGAACACAAGTTGACACAAGGGTACACTTCTAGATTAGATCCACAACACATTGAAGTGTGTGTTTGCTCTCTCTTTCCCAGTCTTTCCAATTACCTTGGTGAAAAATGTAACTTTAGTATTTTACAGGACATGGTAAAGCTGTCTCATCTAGGTGATGTCTATATTAGAAAAATAAAATAAAATAATATAAATATGTAACATGAACCCAGTGCCCATCGTTAAATAAAATATATGATAAAAAGCAGACCTTCTAGGATGACTGGTTTTGAAATATGCGAATATAATTTAATTATTAAACACTTGAAACAATCTTGATATTAAGCTGCGATAACCAGATTTTTGCATCTATGCTAGATAAAGAAATAACATTCTGTAATAGAGTTACATTGATGAAAGTGAAGGTTACAGTCTTACAATGAATTGCCTAGATAGGAATGCATTAAGCAGTTCTGAAATATTGTCTCATGATGGAGTTCAGTTTACCTTAGAAACTGTTACAACTGGATTTTATTAAGTCCAGCAGTTTATACAGTGATGTTTGGAAACTGCTTTCTCACTGCTATAATCAGATAGGTACAGGAACGAGATTTCTGGGATGTCAAAGAATTCATTAAGACATCAGCAAAATCCTTTGACAAAAATATGTTTTACAGTGGAATTGCTTCGTAAACTATTTCTCATGAAGAAATAAATATTAAAAAAGATTCCACTCTCTGCAAAACCGTATTTGTGATAGCGGCTGCGTGTGTATGTGTGCACATATTGGATATCGGGACGCCTGTGGAGACGTGCAGGAATATTTACACACATACAGGGGATTTTTCTGCACATTGGTGGATATTACACTTAAATTAATAAAGGAAATCAAATCACCGGTGTTTGTTGCAGGATAACAGTCTTTCAAAAACGACAGGATTCAAAACAAATGCCCGCTGAAAGTGGAGTTTCCAAATAGTCCCAGAAACTATACAATGTAGCTGGTTAGATCCAGCAAATAGGATGTCATGTCTAGGATCTGATCCAGAATACCTGCCCTTGTCACTCTTCGGATGTTTCTGTCCACTTGTTCACACTGGGGGCCGAGATAGCCTTTTTTACACAAGCATTTATTGGGCCTTACACAGACACCTCCATGTCGACAGGCCGGGTCGCATTTTGCTGTGGGTGAAAAAAACAGCGATTTTCTAATTTGTTTAGATCATCACAAACCAGAAAAAGATGCACTACACATTCATTTAGAGCTTTTCTAACCTTGTAGTGAAAAAGCATATAAATTAAAAACAACATAGAAAGGATGAAATATTAGGAGTGTTGAAGGCATATTTTCTAAAGTTTTAGAATATTACGAGGAGAAAGTAATTTTGTATATAATTTTGTATATAATTTTGAGGATGTTACCTGGGAAAGACTGATAAACTCAAATAACAGATTTTTTATGAAATGTCCAATTCCCATATTCAGGTTTCATTTAGGAATCTCAGGCAACTCCTTTGTATACTCAGTTCTGCACTACACACATGCCTTAGCAAAGCACACTACACCTGAGCAGTGCACCCAATGCACTCCTTTGGCTCTTGAATCACTCAATGCTGGGAACAAAACTGAATTCCTATTGGAGGAAAAAGAGCCAGGGTGTTTTTTTCAACCATTTTAATCAATTTTGTAAGTTTCAAAGCTTTCCCCTCTCTTTAGCAGATGCCTGGCGATTTATCTATAGAATTCTAGGTTAATCAGCTTGCTTCAGCCTTTCAAATATAGCTCCTATTTCAAATTGTAGCCAGTGTTAGCAAAATTAATAATCAATAACTTTAGTTGTGGTAGTATTTTCTTCTGGAGTAGTCACAGGACTGTGATATATATAATTTATATAAAATATCTTTCTTTTTCTGCAGGTGTTATGCTGCTTAATATTATCGATTGCAATGAACTTTAATATGGATTTATGGATATTTATACTGCACTCTAGAAATGCAGGTTTTCTTGATTCCAAGAGTTTCTTAACTACATGAAAAGGAAACTCATACCTTGTAAGTTAAATTTTCTTATTTAAACTATAATAGTACCTTGAGGTTCAACTTAGACCATCCCTATTAATTGTTGTGTGGGATACAGGGAAGGTAGATCCTTAGTCTAAATATTTTCTGTGGCTTTCTTGCTCATCATGTCCATCAAATCATCTATCATAAAGCTGTGATTTTTAAAACAAAACAGCTTATTCAAGACCCATTTATGTTCATGTTGGAGGCATTTTTTACTTTTTAGTTCCACTTGGACCAAGGCTGTAGAATGTTCCTCATTCTCTAAATGCAGGACAGGTCTGGAAAGTGAGGACAATTGAAGTTGGGATATTTGGCCAGATGAGCTCATCCATTTCTCTAACCTGCCTTCATTGCTGGGTTGTGAAAGGTCTGCTCATGAATCTTTGCCAGTAAGGTATTTTATTAGTGGTTTAATAATTGCATTTCATTCCAAAGTCACTTCTGCTCATCACTAAAAACCTGGAGGTTGCTGAAATTTACACTCCAGCCTATAAGGACTTCATAGCTGACCCTGCTTCCCCAGGGCCCTCCTAAGTGCCCTTCCAACCTGAATTATCCATGATCCATTGTGGGATCCTTGTTTTCCCTTAGTCCTTGCTATTTCTTTGAGTTCTACTGCCACAATATGGACATCTCAGTGTTAATCTCTCATCTGGTCAAATTTGCTGTCCAAAATATGCCCAATCAGGGGACTCTGCTGATGCTGAGGAATAAAATCTTTGTAATAACATCTCCTGTTACCCAGGTTGGTTCTGGGACAGCTGCACTGGCCAAAATGACACAGCTCAGACAGAGCCACAGCCTCTGAGACAGTGATGGCACAGCTGGGACACTCTAGGCTCATTCCCTTGACTGGCACACCCATCATCTTAGTTCAGTCACAGTCACTTTTCCAAGTGACTTTTAAAAGCTAAAGCAACAAGATAGGACCTGATGAAATCACTGTAATAATGGATCACAATAACATTGATTATTTGCTCTTTCGTGATACGTTGTACAGAGAATTCTCCTCAACAAACTGGTGGAGCCATTTCATTTGGCAGGATCAAAAGCAAGAATGTACCAAAACTAAAAAGTATGCATTAAATTAGTGAAGTGCAAAAGATGCAATGGAGAGCTGCAGTTCTTCTTTAGCATCTTTCCTGACAAGTCACCTCTCTGACACTGACAGTGATAATACTGTAAGTGGAAGGTGAATCTCCAAACACAGGACATGTAGTGACTGCACCTCAAAATCTTGGTGGAAAAAACAAGAATACTGTTGTTATGTTTATGCTATCAATTGCATTTTCTGCACTGGCTCACAATGCATTAGATGTTTTAGCAGTTGCATTCATCTAAAGACTTATTGTTCTTCTGCAGCTCATGAAATCACTATTTTCTAATGTTGTCTTACAACTGAAGGCCGATATATTGGTCAACATATACTGACAGTTTCTCTGAGCAAATAATTAAAAGCCAATTATGACATGTCACTGCTTTTTCCACTTGTTGCTGTGGATCTGTATACAAACCAGTTCTGCAGAACTCTCCTTCCCAGCCTTGATTACAGCAGCATTTTCCTGTGGGAGTGCAGTGCCCGTTCCGACAGTGCCTTGAGCATTCAGATGTCAGGATATGTGCAGGCTGAGCTGTTCTTTTGCATTCTTCAGGGACTAAAGGCCTGAAAAAAAAATACAAACCAAACAGAGTTAAAGTTGGGATCAAGAAGAAAAATTTTGATTTTTAAAATAAAGGCCTGATTCTCTGCTGTAGTATTATCAGTGGGAAAAATCATAAGATTTCTTTTCCTCAGAAAAAGAAGTAAGCCTAGAGATGATATATTACAGGAAAATACAGTACAATTTTCTATTATTTTATGTAACTGTCTTCAGAGATCTTCCACAAGATTAAGCAATATTCCTTGAGAATTCTTGAAGCATGAACCTGCCAAAAGCAGCTTGCTGAAGGTTTATCTTCATAAAGCTGCCAGCTTATTACAGGCAGTGATGGTGGTTTTTTTTCATTTCTAGCTGATCTAGATTTCCCCTTGGAAAGGGGGAAGAGTAACCTGAACAAGTTTTATGGCATTGTGATGTGTAATAATTTTACAGAAGTATTTCCTCTGTCTACGAATTCAGCTTTAAACTGCTGGCTTTTTATTTCCACATTCCCATAGAATGATATTTGGATTGTGCATTCTGGATGCTTATTTAAGCATGTGAACATCAGAAAAGACCTTTTCACTCTGAGAGTGACCAAGCACTAGCACAGGTTGCCCAGAGAGTTGTGGAGTCTCCATCACTGGAGATACTCAGAAATTGTGTGGGAAATTGGCTGTGGGAGGCCCTGTTTGAGCAGGGTGGGTGGACCAGGTGCTCTCCAGAGGTGCCTTCCAAACTCAGCCATTCACCATCAGGTGATTCTGTGGAATGTGTGCACAAAGGAAATTCTAGTTGAGATGGCTTAAAATATTTCTGACACTGGATGTTTTGGTTAGGATGATAGGACCATCCAAAGGCTACAGGTTCTCAGTAGAGGTACCATGTTGTGTCTCTGCTGTAGGTTTGGTTGCACAGGTACAAGTTTGGAAAAGAATGTCAGGATCTCCCAAGTGATCTAATCAAGTAATTGAAATAGGAGCATCATGGAAAATTAAATTAATTAGTGACAAATATAAAATTACTCATTCCCTAGGAAATCATCTTAACTACTGCCATACATACTAAGCCTGCAATGAGCAGGAAAAATATTCTAATAGTTTACTGGAGAGCTTAGAGAAACCTTGGCTAAGTGTCCAGCTAGAATCCAAACAAACCAAAACAAAATTCTGAGAGAATAGAATGGAATAGAATAGAATAGGAGACATTGTTCCTTATACTGGCATCAGTATTAACACCCCAATTATGTGCAAATAGCTGGAATAGCAGCTTGTGCACTGATTACTCTGTCACATATTAAATTCTTAGACTGATACTCCTGTGCAGAGGAAAGGATATATTTTGAGGTCTGAGAAAGAAGGATATGATAGAGGTGTAGAAAACTGTGACTGAAGAAAAATAGGGGGAAAAAATTGGCATTCTTGTTTATCTCCCATTTCAACATCAAAAGAAACATCAAGGGAAAAATTAAGCTAAAGAAAATAAAGTTAACTAGCTGAACTTGTGACTACTAAGATATCAAAAGATATCTGAAGCCTACGTTCTACTAGGATTTTAAATAGATATTTTTGTGTGCAATGGCATTTGTGTGCCATTCAGGGTAATATTAGATAGGGTAAAAATAATTTTTTAAAAAATAAAAATTCATACCTAAATCCCTCACCAGCTGACTGGGCTTACATTTCCCCCTCCCATTTTGACATGCATCTTGTTAATGGTTCACTACAGGGTTTCTTGCATTTTTCCTTGAAACAGAGTAATAGAGTACAGGCCCACTGGTTTGTTTCAGCATAGCCCTTTCTCTGCTCAGTCTTAATTACTACCATGATTATTTAAACATCCACACACAAGAACTGGTTCCCCAAAGAGGTTAAGGACAGAAAGAATGTGTAGGTGCTTCTTTAGCATAGCACCAAGTCCTGATTTCCAAAGCATTTCTGAGAATCAGACTGAAGGTCCTGTATTATTTAAGGGCTTTGAAACATGTTTTGACACCTTTGGTGCAGCATATTTGAAACCCTTTCAGTTTTACTGTTTACATATTTCCACAGCTGTCTTTTAAATAGAATGCATTATTTTTTTGACCTGTAAGGAATTCCAGTTCTGTAATGAGCAATGATTGTATTACATATGTTCTGGTTAAGAAAGTTCCTACGCTTAAAAAATTATAAGCAATATTCACATGCAACGATGTTTTGGAAATGGTTCTAGAAAATAATATGATTTTCAGTCGGAGATTTTTTCAGATTTAAGGTAAAAAGAATCTGTCTTCTAATTCCTACATCTGGAAGAAAAAATCTGCATTTGAAATTATTTCTGTATGGCCAACTGCACAGGATGCAACATTCTTTACCTGTCACTACTTACAGCTCATTTATTTCAAGTTAAATGGGAGGCTTCTCTTTCTCTTGCTCAAGCACAGCTTCAGTACAGAGTTTAGCAGGAAACATAACTGCAGGCTCCTAGAGCATCTCTTGGAAAAGAGCTCCAGTGGCATATCTTTAGCAAAGAATGACCTCTTTAGTCACAAAGGTATTTTATTTGGAAAGATAATGATTTATTTTATTATTAGATATGAAATATTTGTCTATGATAGTGCTGTAATACATGGCTCTTTTTGAATGCAATTAGGAAGGCAGAAGTCACACTTCTTTGTATTCAGCTGAGCATGGCTGGTCACTTTTATGATTTAAAGTTTTCTACCGCTCTCAGTACTTGTGAATATAACCTTGCCTTTTATTCTACCATCAATCAAGAACTTGCACTCATCAGCCTTGGATAATATTTATTAATGGTGGGGTGGAGTAGAAACAAAGATGGAAAAAATTCTGGTTGGCAAGGTGCCTTAGGAGAAGAGGAATACAAATGCAGCTGCAGCGGAATCCTCGCGTGTGAGAATGGCTGGTTTCCCTGAGCTGTGCTCTGGGAAAAGCCACACTTATTTCTCAGGATTCAAGTGCTGCTCTGGGACCAACACGTGTCGAGAGAAAGCCTCTGCCCCACAGCACTCACACTTTGCATTCTTAGGGCTTGGAAGAGGTGGAAATGTTCAGGCTGAGCACAAGCTGAAGTGAGTCTCACAAAGATAACGCAAGTCCTGACACCAACTCTTGGGACTTGATCTCTCCTGCACTTAGACAGGACCATGATTTTGTTTATAGAACCAGTGCTTCTCTGTGTCTCCTGATGTGGAAAATGGAGAGGAATAGATGGAGCCACACTCCAGGCTGCAGAGAATTTTTTTCCTTGTATCCCTCAATCTATAAAACTCTAAAGGGTACAGCTTGATTACTCTTACAGTAAGCACTATTTGGTCCGCAGAAAGTCAGCCAAAAATGTAGCTGATAATGACTATTTATATGGTCTGTACAATTCTAGTTATCTTAAAGAGCTGTTCATATATACAGTACAGTACAGTATATCTTGCTTGTTAAAACAGGCTTTCATGAAACTGTATAACAACTCTAAATGTATGGAACACGAAGGAAAAGTTGTACTGGGGGCTGGGGCCTCGCTGGATCCCTTCGCTGACGTGTGCAGTGAGCCGGGAATTCTTGACTGTGCAATGTGTAAAAGAATTTTTGCTGCCTTACCATAGCTAGTAGAAGAAAGCTGTCTCTACTGTTTAGAGGCATTTAAAAGTCCAACACGCTTTAAAATTAAAACTCATTCTGGCATAGCTCAGGACTTTATGCTTTCTTCAGCGCATCTCTGTTCACGGCTCCACTAAACACACAGAGTGAGTTAGTTGCTGTATGTGCTGTCTGTAACTCAGATGTGCATAAATCAATGCAAATGGAGGGCCAAACTCTGCAGTAAAATAATGGTACTGAACAGAAAACAATTCCTCCACCAGGCTTTTGACACAACATCAAAAATCTCTACTTCCCTACTAAAGTGAAGGAAAAAAAAATGCAGACAAAATTCTTGGATGTTCAGATTTCAAACAGGAGAAATCTCGATACAAAATATATTGAATGTTGTGCTTCAATTACCTGCACATAAGATTTAGGTATTAGAATGATACTTAAGTATATCACCAACATTTGTGCATCTGTTGTTGAGGTTTTTTCCTTTATAAGGGAAAATGTCAAGAAAAAATAATTTTGTTTCACTCCTTGTCATAACCTGAATTTACTGCTTGTCATAGAATAAATATAGCATGTCTTCAGGTACAGCTTCTAAAATTAAAAAGTATACCTTTAGTCTGGGAGAGATGCCAAAAGCTCGTTACTTGTCTCCAGATTTACTACATGGGAATGATGTGGAAAAAACTCACGGCTTTTAAGATTTAAACTCAGCAGCATATCAAATTTATTCTTATATGGTATACTTGTTCATGACCTCTAGTCTTAAGAAATTCTGTCATGTTTGAAAACTAGTCCCTAGCGAAGCCTGTATCAATGTTAATAGCTAAGAGGTCAATGCAACTGCTAAACAGTTTGTATTACTGTCAGGGTGGTCATGAAAACAACACCTGCTGCATGAGCACTTGGCAGCTGGGTCAACAGGCACTGTGGGAATTTATCAATTTAGGGGGCCACTTGCATAACACTTTGACTGATGAATTGGGAACGACTGGCTTACTGGGCTAAAGCTGCTCTATTATGTGTGACTTTCTTTAGGATGGCAGAGGCTTCCTGCAGGCTCCAGAAAATAAGCAAAAGATAAACTGAGCTGTTTTTTTCCTTATAAAGCGATAAAAAGTGAGAACTCCTTAACAGCCAATGCTAGAAAGATTTTAAGAAAAGGGGAAAAAAATATAAAACCAAAACAAAAACTTTTACAGTCAGTGAGCTGTGATGTGACTGAAAAAAATCCTTAGGTTTTTCCACCGTGGTTACAAAGGAGTTTTTGTGAAGTACTTCTGTAAAGTGAAACTCTCTGGACTGGTATTCGCAAAAAGCTCTAATTTCTCTTTAGTGTCTCTTGTGGGAACAGTAACTGCATGTGGGTAGGTAAATGAGATAAGAATTTTGCATGCTTCGGCTAAACTAAACATAATTAGACATTAATTCTGGCTTTCCATTCCCTCAAATGACTTAAGGGATAGTAACTTTCTGGACAGAAAGAAATCATATGGCCCACCTGGGTTGGTGAGGGCATTCACCAACAAAATTGGCTCCTTCTACAGAGAGTTTCCAGTAGGAGCTTTGGAGTTTATCTATAACCATCAGAACTGAGTATCTTGATGCAGATTACTCTAAAACCGTGTGTTTCCATTTCCACAGGAATTGAAGGCTCAAACAGAGCTTCACTTTCATAAAAGCTTTTCTTCTGTCATACCACCAAACACTCCTGACTCACGTTAAAAAATCAAATCACTAATGGTTTTCTAAAGAGCCTGAACAGCGTCAAAATGAGGCATGGCCTAGATATTGTCCCTTGGTGTCTGAAATCAGCCTGTTTGGAAATGCTCTCCGACAGCGGAAACCCCGGAAGGTGATGATGGAAAGGATGATAAGTGGAATTATGTACTCTGGAGGGGCATGAAAGAGGAGTGAGATGGTTTGAATCAAGTTCAAGTTTCAATCCAACGGGAAGCAGCAATTCCGGCTGCTGATATGAAACACATTGAAATCCAGATCTATAAGGTGTTACGAGGAGAGGAAGAGGAAATCTTCTTCTGTGTGCAGGAACACTTGCTCAGGCTCTGCCCTCCTTCATTAAAATCACCTGCTGGTTTCAGTGAGCCATCCTGGTCAAAACAATCACTATCCCCTTTGGAATCACTGTATGGATGGTGGCAAACTCTTAAAGCTTCACACTTAAAACTTCACAGCACATCTTTTAAAAGGAAAACTTTTGCATTGTCTGTCACTTCTAGACTCTTCTCTGGATATCCTTCCTTTTATCTGTAATTTCCTTAGAAATTAAAGTGATCATATTATAAATATTCTGAAAGAAAAATTACAAAGCCTCTTTATGGCTGTTCTTCCACCATACAAAGTTTATTTTCTTACTTCTTGGTCTAGTGATAATGTTTAAATTACAGAGTGTATGGACCTATCAACAAATCTTACTTATTTAAATATTCATTTTCACAGTTGATTTTCTCCTCTCATCATGCTAGAATAATGATTGCTTTTTCTTTTCTAATGGGTTTGTCTCCTATTTTCTCTGTTATTGACTAACTGGAATCTTTTGACCTCTGTACATCTTCTATATCACTATTTACTTAGTTGATTTTTCTTTTCAGCTCATCAACACTTGTGATTGATATTAGTATGTATTTTTAGAAACAGAAAACATGATAGAAAAGTAATAAACAGAAAGTAGAAAACTACAAAATAAAGAGATTTTGGTGTTTGGTCACAGAAACAGTTTATAAAATGCTAGTATTTGCATTGACCTTCAGGATATCTGACTAACCCTACCTTTTAGTTGAGAAGAATACAAGTCTTTCTCCCTGTATTTCCTCACTAGTTCCAATCCCTGGAAAGTAGTAGTAATGGTTTTTTTTGATAATCCTCAAACAATGGAAATATTTTTCAGAGACAGTTTTAACTTAAAAATGTTTTTCAACTGCCAGTTTAACTAATGTGCCCAATGTTGGTTTGATGTGCCTGTAATTTTTAATGTTTCCCACATCTCCTCCATCCTCAAAGCTAAATGTGCTATTGGCTATGCTCATTCCTCCATGGGATTTTTGGTAACATGTAGTATACCTGTATTTTGCAGCATTTCACATTCTTAGGGCTTTTTTTTAATCATTTCATTGTCTGTGAGCTCCCAGGCACAAATGTATCATCATAACAATCTTTTTACAAGGAGAAGGATTATTTCACTCAGTGCTTTCAGTGGGGGTCTATTTAGTTATTGATATGAAGTATTTGGAAGAACTGAACAGAACCTTTACTGTGGTACCTGAAATTCTGTATTTCAAACTGCTTTGGTAATTGTGGGATTCAGAACCCCTGTGTTGATCATGTTCATAAATTTATCATATATCACCTCAGTTAAACACCTCATTTCTGTTACACTTGTAGGATTGTTGTAGGATGGGACTTTCCCACTGCTGAGTGCTGAGTGTTGAAGACTAATGCAAAGAGTTCCCTGGATTACCCTCATCTTCTGATCTGCTAATGTTTAACCTGCCCACCTAATTTGATTTTTTTTTATGTCCAAGTAATAGATTTCTGTCTTAAGCTACATTTGAGACAAGAAAAATAGGAGTCATGGTTTTCCACAAGACAAAAGGACATGGCCTCAAGCTGTGCCAGAGGAAGTTCAGGTTGGACATCAGGAAGTATTTTTTCACTGAAAGGGTTTTTAAGCCTTGGAATGGACTGCCCAGGGAAGTGGTGGAATCACCATCCCTGGAGGTGTCCAAGAAACACCTGGACATGGCACTCAGTGCTCTGGTTTAGTTAACAAGGTGGTGATCTGTCAAAGGTTGGACTTGCTGATCTTGGGGGTCTTTTCCAACCTTAATGTTTCTATGATTCTAAAAAGATCAAAAGAAATAAAGCCCTGCACTGTCATGTAATGTTTATTTTTTAAAATAAAATAATAATTTTGTAAGTTTGCAGCAGCTTACAAATGACCACAAGGAGAAGAAGGTTGGGTTTGCATGGAACTGTTAATTTCCAGCAAGGGGCTACTCCAGGGCATGATAATTTTGTTCTTCTACACTGCCCCAGGCATTGAAGATTATCTTTGCAAATTAACAGGTCTGCCAGGCACCACCTCTCACAGGGGTTTTTTAGTAAGTAATGAATTTCTAAGACATGACAAATCAATAGGTTCATTATTTTATTATTACCACCTACTCATAGTCCACCTGTAGAATCCTTACTTTGTGTTTTACAAAGCTTATTGTGGTAGGGTTTATGTGAATATTTGTTGCATTGATGTGGTGCACACCACGAGGAGAAGCAACAAAATATAAACATGGAAAAGAATATTATTTTGTAAATAACATTATTTTGTTACTAAAACTTTACATGAACATTTGCCAAAGCCATGGAGTTTACATGGGTGGTATGAACTCAGCATGGAATGGTAAATATATCTCCAATGCTCCATTGTGGAAGTCACTCATTATCCTTCCCTTAAAAGCTGCAGTGGTGTGAGATTGAAAGACAGCAAAACTCAAAACTTTGCCTGAATGAAAATTATCCCATGCTTCTGAGAAGTGTTACCAACTGTGCCACAGTCTGTTTAATTTCAACTGTGTGCCAATTTACAAAAGTATTTTATAGTTTTCTGGTTACTTTCACCAGTAACCAAACACAGTCTTGACCCTTTTCCACGCATGAGAACAGCCAACCATGAGTGCAGCAATGGGAGGTCTGGCCTTTCAGGTATGTCAGCTGAAGACCACCCTACTGGAAGAGGTAACAAGAACAAAAAGCTGAGGTCAAAAAAGGCAGCCCCATGTAATTAGATACTAATAGTGGATTTAGGGTGTAAAATTCACTTAAAACCATACACCAACAGACTAAACAATCCTAGGAAGAATGGCAAGTTTTGTTCTAAAAAAATGTTTTCAATACCAGAAAGCATAAATAAAACATACATAATAACCTTGACTGACAGACTGCACCAACCTGCAGTAACATCTGCTTCCAAATTATTTGTTGTAGTTTTGGGGTAGTACAATTATAAAACACTGAAAGTCCACTACCCCTGAAACTCTAACTTACAGTACAGTGTGCAATCAGTGTCATGATTTTCTTGTTGTATTCCCTTGTTATCCCACTAACAATGTTTAGAATTTAAGTCTCACAAGAAAATAAATTCCTCCCCTAATAGGAAAGCCAAAAATGGAAGTCTGACTGTATCTGATACCCATGGAGGAACATGCTGAAGTAGATGCTGAACAAATAGGCAGCTGCTTTTGTAGGGTGTGATGGGGTCAAAGTATTATACAACAAACTTCACTTCTGATGGCTGACTCCTTTTGTGTTGATTTCTGATACTTTTGCAGGATGGATGTGCAACTTTTACATGTCAGAACTTGGTCTGATTGAGCAGCAAGATCCATCATGAAGAACATGGTACTCCTCCAGCTAAAGTGAGTATCTATCTGCTAGTCATCAGCTCTTATTGCTGCTGGGGCCCCTGGGTCATGTTGGGAACTGGCTTTTTGCAGTCCTTCCAGATTGCTTAATCTTTTCATACATCCAGCTGCTCTGCAAAGATCATGCCTTGAGGAGCTTTGCCTTGATAATTTTCATTTATCCTCATTTTACAACTGGTAAATTAGTCTCAATAATTAGAACAATCCTATTAATTCCATGTCTTATAAATCACTTGAGTGGGATTTATAAGCCCTTTGGAAGCAGTTCTCTAAGAATGGTTAAAGAATTCCCTGTATTTCTGGCACAGAGTCCAAGGACAGAGGATTTCCCTCCTTGGTGCTCCAAGCCTGCCAAGGGAGAGATATGTAATAAAAGGGGTATGGAAGGGGTATGTTCAATATTAGTGAGCAGGGACAACTCACACCTACTGAGAAATGAGTCCTCTCTATTATTGTCCATTGGTGGTATCTCCTGTACAACTGGAGAAGAGATATTTGGGAAAGACTGAAGAGATATTTGGGAAAGACTGAGCGAGTCCCTTAGAGCGAGCTTACAGCCAAACTGACCCTGGTTAGGACTCACAGGTTATTTTCTGTGCTTGCTGTTTAGTACACAGAACAGGTTTTGTCTCACAGTGCTGATCTTTGTAGGCAGCTCCTGTTGTGCCCTGTCCCATCACAGTGGCAGGTGAGGAAGCAGCAGTGCTGGAGAGAATTCTAGCATCTGCCTTCCACTGGTGCTGCATAACTTTCTGTGGTACTTAAAAATCACTTGGCTTCAGAACTACCAGGAGCATCTTCTTCCAGTCCATATGGTTCCAAATTAAGTAGGTCAACTTCTCTACGAAAACATGCTAAGAATATACATCTAGGTGGGAAAGTGGGCAGCTTTCAGCACAATGTCAAAGTGTAAAAATTCCCAGAAGTTAGTGCTGGTTACCCCTCTGCTGTTCTTACATTCACTTCCTTTGAGACAGTGAATCTCTTCTGCTTGCTGCTGCTGGAACATTTGCTTTTAGAGAGCCCCCCGAAACAGGAATTTTCCTTTTTATTGAACAACAGTATTGCATAATTCAGCCACATGAACAGAACTGCAGTTACCTTCTGGTTTTTAACCTATTGAGGGAAAGGCTGATCCCAAAAAGAAATGCAATACTCACCTTTTTGGGTCAACGATCTTGTAGAGTTTTCCACTGTGAGGCTGTGTCATACTTTTACTGCTTGATAATATGTAAATCTCACCTGTTAGGAAAAACAGTGCCATAAATTACTTCTCCTTTCCTAAGATGTTAAATACATGACTTTTGTGATCTGGTTGTATTTGCTAAATGAGATTTAAAAAACTTCAGAAGAAACACTGAAATATACAAAAGAATCATTTGCTATTTGAAAATTTTATAAGCACTTTCCTCAAATTAATGCTAAAATGTGAAAAACATTCTATCATGAGGGGTTTTTTTTCATATAGTATAGAATTGATTAAAAAAATTAAATAGGTGAGGAAGGGAGAAGAGGGGTCAGTCTGCTCATGCAATATCTTTGCCCTTTAATTCTGTAATGCTAGAAATAAAAGCAAGTATTTTATACATTGTGTCATAGTGAGCATGTGAGACACAATAAGGATTTTTGCCCTTCCAGCAACACATTCTCTTCTCATTTCTTCCAACAAGGCTGCTGAGGTGTAGCTGAGAGCAGCGAGAGCAGCTTTGGCAAAGGACAGATAGCCTTCTTTTTAAACATTTACTATAACTATGAATACTGATGCAGAAATTACTGATAAGCCTTATAATTTAAGAAAAACTCTTTTAGTATTTACCTAATTCATCTTCTCCAAATCCCAAGACAGGGCCTGAAAAGAAACCTCTACATGAGCCAGTGTTGCCAAGACAGAGGGGTTTCTCTTGCCACTGTTTGGTTGCAGGACTCTGTTGCAGTGTTAAAAAATTTCTACATTCACAAACACATAAAAAAAAGAGTTATATTACATTTTGAACAGAGGGCTTTCATTGTCCAGATAAATAAGTAAACACTTGCTGCAAGTAGCTTCATAGATACATCTGTGCAGTTCCTTGTCTTACGACTTCCTGTACCTTTTCCCAAGGATTAGGTACGTTCTGTATGTCACCACTCATTAGAATGCTGCGCTATTTTATTCCCAGATCTAGAATCTAATCTGCATTACCCCACTGCTAAACTGGCCAAGGGACACATCATACAAGACTGTTGGTGTGGCTTTACACAGGCAGCTGCGTGACTGAGTCCACCTGCCATGCATTGCTGTTTGGAGTGAGCTGTGCGCACGTACCCGTTGCGGTCTCCAAACACGTAACTTCCATAGAGCCGCTCCGACTGGCAGCCCCGGTACACAAATCCACCAACCAGGGAGCCACTGCTGAAGGGTTTGAATTCTAGAAGGGAGGGCTCACTCTCTGAAAAGGAACTACCGTAGCATTAGATCATATGCATTTTCATATTGATGCACATCTAGGAAAATGTTACTGCTTCAGTTAAAAAGATTAATTCCATTTAAAGAGTCTTCAGAATTCAGGATGCATTGACATTGCAACATTAACATCTCAGAAATGAGATATTAAAAAAAATCAGAAAATTACAGCAAAGTCTGTTTGTGAAACAATCCATTAAAGATTTCAAAAGGTTAGGCTATAATTGCTTTCTTCCATGTGCACAAGCTGGGAGAATAAAACTACATAAAGATTAGGCTGAACTTCCATTGAAACCAGAGTGATTACTGCTGTTAATTTCTACATGTCAATCTGTCTGCAGACTGGATCTCCTGAACTTCAGGAACAAAATAACCCCCATTCACTGTAGAGTCTAGTGCAGAAATTCCAGTGATTTTCAGTAGAATAAGTTTTGAAATCCTTTCAATGGTTTGAGAAACTTCCCAATTCACAGTTTTAAAGATGGTATGTGTGTTATATCCCATAAAACACTACTATTACTGGCTGTATCTTCTCATGGTAATTTATTTTATGCTGCTGTATTAGTTGCAATTCCTGTACTTCTTTTCTGCTTTTTTATTTCACAAAACCACAGATTTTAGTCCTATCAAACAATTCTTCAAGGAAGTTCCAGTGTACATGTTCCTATTCATGCAATCAAATACCACTTAGGGTACAAGTAGGCTCCATTTGACATGCTAGCTGCATAATTTAAAAAAAAAAAGCCACAGCCAGTTGACCATTTTTTAATAGGAATTTTTTTTTTTAGTCAGCGGGCTATCTGCAAGCCTTTGAAAAATGCATTTCCCAGAGTGTTCTACCTGAGTTAGAGCTGAAATTTTATGGGGGAGAAAACAGTGATGAACTCTTTTTATTGAAGCCATTGACCCACAGCCTAGTATTAATATTGGCAAGCTGCTCGGGACAGACACAATATTGTTAGTTTATTCTGCAATAAGGATGCAGTCAAAATTCCATTGGAGCAGTGGTTAACCAAATATTACTCTTTGGTTTGGCTTTTATAAAATGGACACAGAAAATCCATGCAATAACCGAAGTAGTACAATTGCATTATGCTATTGTGTCCTGTTGGGCCACCAGCACAGCTGCTTTGCTTTTAAGGGGAGTACAGGTGGGAGAACGCAGGGATGTGATTAGAAAGGGAAATGCGACGTTCCAGGAGACAGGCCAGTTCTCAATGCCTTTAGACACCGTTGGCATTTATCACTTGTTACCATTAGGAATTTACAAGCTGCTAAATGGGCAGTCAAGGCAGGTGATAGCTCAGAGGAATTGTCACCTGCCTTGCCTGAACTTGCAAGGGACCTTGGTGAGCACCAGAGTTAAACATCAAACTGAAATTGTGACTGGCAATTATACAGATTCAGAGAGAGCATGAAGCACTTTAATATTTTAAAGTCCCGAATTGAGTGTACTTATCTTTTTGTAATCTAATCTAAACTAGTAATTTATTATGAAGTAGCAGCATAGTGCCTTTTTCTAAGTTTTTTATTTTTAGTAACATTTAAACAGAGCTCAGTCATTTCCCTGTTTGGTTGTGGTCTGCTGTTGTCTATCTCACTTTTTCCATTATAAGAGGCATATTACATGAGGTTTCCATTCTCTGTCTCAAAAGGTTATTTGTGAAAGACTAAGAATACTAAGAAAACTAAGAATGCGTTTTCATCATTTCCTGATATTCCAAAATATTCTCTTTATGAGCCAAAATATGCAGCAACAGTGAGATCTTTGACAGACTAGCAACTGTCAAATTTGTTAAATCTTATTTACATGCTATTCTACACCAACAAGAACAAAGTTGAGTCATTTCCATTTGGTTTTGGCCTGCATCTTTTATCCGCTTCTACATTGAAGATTTCTTTTGAAAAGATAGAAATTTCACTTCTATCTCAGATAAGTTGTCTCTATGCTGTAAGTTTCCTATCATGGCTATACAGGCCTTTACATATTCTCTTCTCTTTCTGTTTATTATTCCATGGAAACAGAACCTGACTATTGCCAGCAGCTTTACCCTGGATAGAACTTACCATAGTCTTTGCCCTTTATTATTTGTAAGATCCTTGCTGAAGATCTGTTCTTTCCATTTGAGTCTGAACAAAGTATAGTTAAATTGACGTTTACATCTGTTGGGTGCCGGTCCACAGCACACCTTTAAAACAACAACAAAAAAAGAGAAAATCCATGAGAAAGGTGAGTTCATAACATGTAACTATCAATATGAAGCATTACATTTTAAAGCATTATTGTTTCTTTGTGGTGCCTATTGTTTCATTTGAGGAACCTTTTTCATGCTGAGTCAAAATACCTGAGAAATGCATTGGATTTATGCACAGGAGATAATACAATTTCCCATTCCTCACATTTCTATGTAATGTGAAATAAAACGATTTTCCCTGGTGATATAATGTAGTCTGCAATATAGCACCTGAAAAGAATAGTGCCTTAAGCTAAATGAACTTATATGGTGTAGGAATTTTGGACTGTTAAAAAGTCCAAGAATCAAGTCCTTATCTGAACAACTTGACTTTCTGATTTTTTTTCAAACCAAGACTTTAAATGTCACTTCAGTACTACCACCCACCTAATTTGCTGAATTATGTGTTGTTTAGTTAAAGCATTGTTCTCCTCCTTGCTATTGTTTAGATATGACCAGATGTTCTCATTTGTTTTCCACGTGCCTTTTTTTCCCAGTCAAGATTTCCATTTCAGCTGTAGTTTACCAGCTTTCTGCTTAAAGCTCTTTTCTTTCACTAAGGTAGTAATTTTATTACTAATTAAAGCTAAAAATTCTGTACTTTGTTTCTGTCATTTTGGTCTTGACTTGTAGTGCATGCTCTTCTCTTTCCCCTTTGCCAATGTACATTTGTTTCTAACTGTGACATATGTGTGGAGGTGGAGGAGTGGAAGATTCAAAAAGTTCACGAGTGCTTTTATTACTGAAATATTGCTGCCTGTCTGTATAAAAGCAAGCTGGGTTGAAAACTGTCTGCTCCAGAGCATTTTCAGTTTAGTGGAAACTCACTTACCGGCCTGGATTGTGGAGTCCATGTGCAAAAATCTCAGGAGGTTGGTTGGTGCTGTTGAAGTGTGGGTTGCTCCGTGGGATGGAGTAAGGGACATTGCACAGGTCAGTATTGACATCGAGGCGCAATACAGAACCTGTAAAATCACTGAGAGAGTTGGAAGGTAAAATAATTGCATTTTTAAAGGTGTTTCACTGGCAAATGTAATCCATATAATACTAGAGTGAGCCAGCAAAATAAACAAGCCACTTTACTGATTAATCACGTAGTGATGGATGCAAGTCCATCATGGTGGATGCAAGTCCAAAGAAGTGTAGCAGAGCCTTTCAGAGATTCACTTTGGCAAATATCTTGCCTTGTTATGTGCAGATTAAAATGCCTCTGATCATGTTGTTGGGAAGCAACTTGATCATAAGAATAACTTTCTAAACATCAAAATTGTTTAGGGCCTCAAATATAAAGCTACTAAGTCTTTTATACTGCGTGCCATCTAGAGTAATTTTGGATATAAACTCTTTGTAATTACAAAGTGCTTTTTGCTCACACTTTGGATCCTACTCTTGAATTCAACAATTTCTAGTCACAATACAATCCAAAGACTAATTATATAGAAAGCAAGTGAGAAAAAATTGTATTGTTTCAATGCAGGTGTTGATACTTTTTTATAAGGATTCAGAACTTTCTTGTTACAAGAAACAGGAGAAACCAAAATGTGTTTTAACTTATATTTGTGATTGAGGATGGAGGAAAGGAGAAGTAGAGGAGCACACTCTTACCATAAACATGAAACGATGTAATGTTTAAATTAATTCCATTCCATTAATTTAAAACCAGGTACTACAATTGCCCTCTGCTCTGGGTTTTGAGTATACCCTTGTACTTAAGAAATATTTTAAAAACCACAGAAGCACCTGCAATTCTCCTGAGCCAAAGAGGTCTTTGAGCACAATAATAGAAGTCTATCCACTGGTAGTTTTTGTACCTTAAACCATCCATCTCCTCCATGTCATCCAGAGTGATCATGCCATCTCCAAGAAAAATGTATAGGAAGCCATCTGGGCCAAACAGCAGCTGTCCTCCTAGATGTTTTCGATGGAGTTCTGCTACTTCTAAAAACACTCTTGCTGTCCTCATGTCAACTTGGTGTGGATTTTTCCTGCAAGGTAAAGATATGAACACAGTTTTTACAGTTCACTATCTTTGTTCTTCTTTCTGAAAATACACTTGACTCATTCAAATTATACTTCGAGATGTGGATGTTGTAGCTTGGCTGAAAAATGCCTAACAGTTATTTCTGAGAAATTTCAATTTTCCAGCATTCACAAACAATTACTTTGCTGCCTATGCACAATAAGTACGAAGTATTCATAATTAAAAAATGACAGAATAACTGAAAAAAGTCTTAAAAAGAAAAAAACTATGCTCTTACTATCATTCCAAAATTAATATTTGAAATAAAATCCACAAGAGGTTTTCTGCAGGTGCCCAAGTTTATACATTGTAAACTCATATTCATTTTAGAAATCAGAAATACTAAAGTGCAGAGGTTGCTGAGAAATACAGAGTTTGTTAATTTTAGACTTCTACTGATACCTGGATACTGTGTACTCTACGACCCTAAGGATGTGGTCATGAGGTCCAATAGCCCACCGTTCTTGGTTGGTGGTATAAGACACATACAGCTTTCCATTTTTCTTGTAATTGGGGTGGAATGCAAGGCTTAACAGTCCTCTTTCATCTCCTCCCTGCAGTCAAATGAAAAACACAAAGAATTGTGAAGTTAATTATGTTCTTTATTGTGTTTCAGCTGGAACCCAAAAAAAAAAAGTTTCTTTCTTGTGGATAATCTTTGCCCAAACTCTTTTATTTCTTTCCTGACTACTGCACAAAAAGGATTATAAAACATTTCACTTTGGGGAAGTCTTTAAGAGTTAGAACAAGACAATTGCCTTATGTAGTTATCTATGCACAAGTCTGTTACGCCACTTTTGTGGAGTGATTTGTGTATGTAATCTTTGGGAAGCCATGAAGACAAGTTTAAGTGCTGTGAAGGATTCTTTGCTGGGTTACTAGGTTGCTTGTAATTCGTAGAAGACGAATAAAAAGGTCTATAATCAGCAGTCACTTCTAATCCAAGTATCCAAAACCTAAAACACAGTGCTGGCTGCCAACTCCCACTGTCTTGGCAATATGTTTAGAAAACAGTTAAATTGCTTGTGTAATATGTAAACCTTTGTTTTACCCTGGAGGCAGCAACATCAGTTGTCACAACTATGGTGGTCTGTTCATCATAGCTGGTGTACTGTAGGTAATAAGCAGCCTTGGTCTGTGTGCAGAGAAACCATAGTTTTACATGTGGTCCCTCACTGGAAAGGGGTTTTGGGTTTTTTTGTTTTTGTTTTTTTTTTTTTTTAATAGAAATAGAAAAATCTCAGAACAACTTGCTTTTGTTATTATGTTTGCCATGAAGATCAGTACAGTTATATGTTAAGCGTCCAATCCATGTAATGTACTATGACAATGCAAATACCCTGTCAACTTAAATAGAAGGCTTTTTGGTTTCTAAAAAGCTTCTAAAAATGTATGTACTATTACTATGCCTAAAACTATATTTGTATAAATGAAGAATAAAACTCAGATTGATTTGTTGCTCTCGAGGCAATACAGGGAGCCAAGCTGAGGCACGGAAATAAACACGGCACATAGTTAACAATTCAAATTCAATTAATATATGTGATTATTCACAAAGTGATAGAAGTTTTGGGGTTTGACTCAGGACTTGCCAGCCCTTTAAAACTAGAACCAGTGACTCTGTTGTAGATTCAAGTGCTCTAGCTCTGCACCCATAAGGAGACAACGTTTTGCAACTCTAACCACACCCAAGATAAGTAATTATGAAATTTGAAATTATAACAGAGGATGAAGCTTTAAAATGTATTTGCACTTCAGAGTGATGGATGAGCCTGTCTTCCTGTTGAAAGTCATCCCACAAAGGGCCTAATTGGGAAAGTGCACAGCTTTAATTTATTTTAATTCAACATGATTGCCGTACTTCCTTTTTAATCACAACCACCAAAGAGAAACCTGAGTCAGAAATGGAGATGTAAATAGGTCAAGAGATTTCCATACAAACAGATTTGTACAATGAAATCTGGATCCTGCTAATTTAGAGGCAGACAAAATTTGCTAGTTTGTTTGCTAGAAAAATTTAGTTTCAGGGGGTTATCAGAGAGGTTAGTTTTGAAAGTCTAGTTAGAGCTGCCAAATCAGTTGCAGTCATCATGGATGAAGGGACTGCCAATCCAGCTCTTTCTCCTTTATGAGCCAAAAATAATTCTGCAGCTGAGTCTGAACTGATTGTAGATATTATTGTTTGAGTTTCTAAGAGCTTTGACCAAGTTGCTCTGATAAAGTCTGAAGCAAAGGGAGGCAAATCAGTTGCTTTGGGAACAGGAAGGCATATTTCAAAGATTCCTAAGGAATGATTCTATCTGTTGTGCCCAGACAAAGACAGCCCTATTTCTTCTCCTGAGAGATGAGTTCAACTCATTTAAGGGCCCAGGAATGTCAGTGAGTCACACTAGGTCTGCCGTGCAAGGTGAGTTATTGAAAGTATTAGTAAGAAAAGATCTTTTTGTTACTGAGCTGAAGATTTTATTTAGTGCTTGATGCCATGGCAGCCGTCTCAGTGTGAAAGCGAAGTTGTTGAAAGCGTAAACAGGTGAAAATTAAATTAAGAGCTTTTAATGAAGTACACATGAAGCAAGAATTTGAAAAATGAATGAAACACTGGACCTGCAAGGTAGTAACTATGGCAAGTTACATTTGTAGATCAGGCCTTGACTTTTATTTCTTGCTGCCTTGCATGATTGTTACAGAGCAGTGTATCACTTTATAGATTGTTTCTGTTGCTTCTTGAAAAGTCACACTGCTGTTTTTCGCAGTCAGATAGACACATTTTGTTCTAAAAAGTCTATTTACTCATGCAGTTAATAAAAACTTTGTGAATATCCCTCCAAGATACTGAAATCAGTGCAGCATCAAGACATTAGTTGGCTCACGTTCAACTAGAAATCCAGATGATTTTTTCCATATTTAGTTTTCCTGCTTTTGGAAACCAATTCTTCACGTGTATTTTGAACTTTATCATTAACTGGCAAACCTGTTCTTCCCAACCAAATCCCTGCCACACTTCCATAGCTTTTAAAATACCCTCTATGTGCTAGAAAGTATAGAGTTTTCTGTAGTGTTGTCTCATATGCTGCATGGTAAATGGAGAGATACCCAGCAAAATCCCTTTGGAGTAGTAATTTTAGTACTACCAAACCAAATAATTCTGCACAAAATCTCAGACTTTCTCTATAGAATATTCCTCTATTTTATTTTTTAGCAATGGACTTTTGATGTGAAACCAGCACCGAGGCTTTACAGTCTTTCCTGTGTATACCATGTCAAATAGTTATATCTTTTTCTTGGCAGCCTAAAAGGTTATTGATGTCCTTTTCTTTGAAAGTTTCCCTTTAGATGGAACCAGCACCAACAAACTGTAGATGACAAATCAGCTTGTATGAGATTCTGCACTGCACTATTTGATGGAATAACCATTAATGTTTGTCAGTTGCATAAGGAAGGGCAAGAAGAATGAGACAAATCTTTGTATTCCATTGGGATGTCTGTTGAAGACAAAGAATGATGGTTGGCTGAAATGAGTATTAATTACTTAAACATACTGTGGACTGGGGCCAATGTGAAATTTGTGTCGTAACTAAATCTGGCAGCTCCCACTTTCGATGTCTGCCTGTGCTGCTCTGTAGCTTGAAGGCTCCCCTCTCCTGTTGGTGGCTGTGACACCTTCTGCACCAATACTACACTTTTTTCCAAAACTGATTTCCTTAGGCCAGGGACCTCGGACCTTTAAACCCCAGCTTGGTCTAGTTTAAGACCAGAGCTGTGAAAATAATTTAATCAGAATTCCATAAAGTCAGTACAAAGCCAAGTAAACATTAAAACAAATTGTTTCTATATTTTTCATTTCATTTCATTTTCAAGGGCTGTTTAGCTAGGTTATGTCAGTTCTGAAAGTATATTGCAGCAGTGTGTGTTCCCAACTGAAGGATATTTTTGATACTTCTTTTTGCGTTGTAATTTCTGCTATAATAGATTTACACTTGTAAAAATGTAAACAAGTGCACAAAATTACCCACTTTGTATTCTGACCTAACACAAAGAGAAGTAACTTGCCTGTGAATACTGGATGTGAGGCATGTGAATGCTGGATTTTTATAGAATGGTGCTATTTTCATGTAACCACTCCTTAGCTGGGCTCTGCTTCCAATTTGCGTGCTTTCAAATGTACTCTGGTATACCTCTGGTATTATAGACAGAAGTTTTATTATATTATTAAGATATTATACTTTTTCTGTAATTCAGAAACATATGCTGCACTTATTTTTAAGACATGCTGCCATTTAATTATGTCAATATATGTGTTATTACATATAGTAAATACAGAGAAATACACAGGAATGCTTTAACTGGTATTTTAAATTATTTAATTTAAAATAGATCATATTGTAAGTATGACCCTTAATTACATATCCTTAGTAGTAATTAATGCTAGTAAGCAAAACCAGACGTGACCATTTATTTCCATTACTCTGTGTGGCTTAATAGTAAACAATGTAGGTAGCATATTCCAAGTTTTCCTTTGAAACTGATTTTGAAATGCACTCTTTATATGAAACTTATAAAATAATGGTATTTATACTTAACAGTACTAATGTGATGGGTATATATAAATATATGGTATATAACAGTATTTATACTTGACTTTTTTGTCTGGACAAACTCACTCTCATGTTGGAATGGAGTAACAACCTTTTTAAAAAAGGGTTGTGCTTAAATATGCCAATTCAACACCCAATATTTTAACTCTAATATCTTTATCTCTTTTTTTTCATCTATTCTTATATCACAAGTGCTGGGTAAGTTGTTGAAGTAATATAATCACCTTTAATTTAGTTTATTTCCTACGTAATAAATAGCATAACCAATATGCCTTACCAAGTGTTTGATCTTAAGGAGTTTTATTTGTAAAAAAACAAGGGTGAGGGGTAAAACCTCTTATCAGGCAGCACCATCTGAACTCTTGAGAACGAGATGCAGGAGGGCTGAAGATCAGTGTCAGGTATTCTTCTCAGTGGGAAGTGTTTGCTTAATTGCCATGTTTTGGAAATTTGGCCCCAGCACAGGACAGAAACGTGACTCCAGCAGGAGCAGAAGGCTGCCAAGGTCTGCTGCAGGGGTACACCCTGCCCTTCAAGCTGCACCACCTACTCTGAGCTCCAAGAGGGAATTGCCCATGCCTGGTGGAAATCTGGCAAGCAGGGAATGGAAGGAGTAGAAGTTGTCTGGGCTGCAGGAGCAGAGCTCTGTGAGACCTCTTGGGTGTTGAGGACTCCAGTGCTTTGCTATCTGTGGGGCCTGAGGCCTCTGGCAAGGGAAGGATTTGTAACATTAGACATTTACCTTAGGGGAAAATAATTACACTGATGTCATGGCTTGGTATGGGCTACACACTAGACCCTATCTCCAAAGCATTTCCTTTTTCCTCTTGTATTGCAGAGCTTTGCTTTTGCCTTTGTTTATAAAGGGCTTTGCAGTTATCTAAGGATGTTTTAAAAAATATTTTCATTATTTTTTACTGATTTCAACAAATGCACTATTTTAATACTTGACTTTAAAA